AATGAGATGTCGACCGGGAGAATGAAATCTGGACCATGTGATTGAGATTGTTACCGTGATAATATGAGATATCGAACGTGAGAAAAATATCTCGACCGCGAGAATGAGACCCCGACCGTGAGGATGAGATCGCGACTGCTTAATCTCAATAACATTCAGAAGGTGTGTGTGAGCGAGATCTCTACCGAGTGATACGCATCTGCACGAGGAGCTTTAGTAGACATCCCAATAATGGAATTTTACTACGAAAAGGAAGTCACAAGCTCGGGCTGCTAGATACAGAACTCCTTTGGTGGCGATGACGGCGGGTGCGGCACTGAGTCAGGTTTGAACGGAATAGATGATACGAGCCGCGTTCGTTCGGGGACCGCTTGGCAAACGAGCTGAGATGGATATTTAGAGTTGCTTCTAGAGTAACATACGCGGAATAGCAGTGATAGGCGACTCACCATTAGCTAAGTAGAACGGGTAGGAGGGTGGCTCACCTAAGACGTGAAGAATGTCGAGCAAGATTGGGAAGAGAATGTTTGTGGTGGGGAATGTCTTTACTCAACTGGTAGAGGAATTGGAATTCACGCCTACATCTCATGCTAGAAAAAAGGCCACGCAAATTCCAGGAAAATACAATGGCATTAAAGGCAATTCATGCCCACCTTAATGCTGCAACACTCCTGTCCATGCACACCATCAGTAATGCTGTCAAGTGCTGCAGTTGAACAGTGATGACTGTGGGAGGTATCATTAGTTGCCCATTGTTGATATTATGGATGGATTCATGTGCCCCTCACATGATGGAAGTGACCACAAGTGGATAGGAATTTGCTTAGCTGGGCATCACCTAACAGTGATTTTGTTTGGATGCAGCCATCAAGACCCCATATGACATGTGAGGATTGATCATATAAAGCACAAGTTGCATCAAATTCCATGGTCAAGTGGTATTGGGGTGGATTGTTGGCATGCATTTTGTGAGAACTAGAGCCACCAAGTCAGCTGGAGATGGTGCATATGAGATGAGTGGCTCAGGTAGACTCAGATTGTTTGTTATGAGACAAATCCATCTAGCCTAACCCCTAATAAACAAAGTGGAACATGCCACACTCTATATAAGAGCCCAGCAGAGACAACATGCTAGATGCTCTAATACTATGGCCTGGTTAGCTCATGCTACATGTGTTTGCCATGTTTGTGAAAAAACCCTTATTTTCACCGCGGCATTGTCTTTCAAGCTATGTTATTGATTGCAGAAGTAGGCGACAACCTCCTCACGTTATCAATAGGGGCCAAACGGATCGACAGGCCGTGCGATAGCTTCTCTTTAAGTCACCGAAAATTAGGGTACCATATTCCTTTCCATGCGCAACCCACTTGTGGGGTGAGATGAAGTTATTACGCATGTTCTCTTATTATTACACTTTGTTACAATTTGACTTTGTGGCGATACATGCGGCGAATGTTGCAATTCTAGTGCTGGTATTTCTCATAACAACCCTTGATTGCCTTACAAACATTATTTGAAATTTTAACTATATGATTGTTCATCGTCGTTGCATACCTGTACATTTTCCAGGCATCTCTGACGAGTCAATGCTCAAAGGACCCTTTCTCGGATGTGTCAAGTGGGTACAATCGCAAGACTATTCGTGCGAGTAAATACCCGAAATAACACATGCCTCATATGGTGAACGTAAAATAGTCCCACCCTCAAATGGACTCAGACGACTTCCAAGTTGGTGTGCTGGTGGTGCAGCCTACAGCCGTCTGGCCCGTCGCCAGATGGGTCCTCGAATGTGCCTCCCTTGCTCACCGACTGCGACAAGCACGATGATGCAGACATAAATGAAGTCAAACTCTCTCCTCCTACTGTGCCCCGACCGGTGACTTTGTTGCCATCACCTTCACCGCCCGTCGTCGACGTTTCATGGAACGGATCCTCCTAGGCCGCCGGCGATGAGGGGATCCTTGGTGCGTCACCTACGGCCCGACCGGAGCGGAAATAACTTTATCAACGCGCGTTAGACTGCGGGCTAGGCACGGGTGCTCATGTGATCTCTGCGTTCCATTGTCGTTCCATTGGGCGCACACGAGTTGACAGATTCTTTGTGAAATTTTGCCAGTGTTTGACTAAGGAAAGCCGACAACAATGGTAGCAACAACCTTGGCAACAATGATTACATCAGAGCTAGCAAGCAAGTCGGTCGACCTCCAGCGCAGCACGGTCGACCGCGATCCAGCGGAGCATAGCTCGCACCGGTCCAGCCCTGAAGAGAAGCGGCTTGCCCACGTTGCAAGTCCACGGTGTGCCAACGTTGCAGCAAGTCTGCTGCACAGCGCTGCACCCACATGACATCGGTGCACCTGACTCGCAGCTGTTCTCAGCTGGGGGGTGCTCCACGTAGGTCACCAGCGAGAAGTCCCACCTGGTCGTGATAGCTGTGGCTTCACCAGCAACTTCAGGCGACAAGCTGCGTAGAGTGCCGAAAATGCCAGTCGCCGTCGACACCAACGCTGAGCTCAAGCAACACGACGAAGGAGTACAGTCGTACAGAGTACTGATAGAAGGTCAGCTTGCTGCAGTTCGCGTCCACCTCGATGAGGCTCGACCTTGCCTTCGCTTGCAGCTTGCTCAATTCTGGCCTGACAGTGCAGAGCGACAACAACTAGCGTGAGTTCGATCGTTGACTGCTCTACCTCCACATGACGAATTTCGCAGCCGCCAGACTTCCGTAGAGTATTTTGACGAATGCTCCGTCGAGCAGCTTTCGCCTGGTAGACCGCCAGCACGGCTTGGTCGACCGACAGCACAACTTGGTCGACCGCCTGCCACCGTTGGGTAGAGGAGCCGCACCATCACGGAGGTCAACGGCGTGCCAACGCTGCAGCAGAGCTGCTGTCCAGCGTTGCCCCGTAGAAGACAGCAGTCCGCAGGCTCACTGATGCGCCCCGACGACTGGGCCGACTTGCATTGCTGTGCATCCGTCTGCTATTGTCTGCGACTGTCGAGCAGGTTACCTGGTCAACCAGGACACCACCAGGTGCTCTGCTCGTCGATCAGGTGTCGTGATCGACCACCAGGTGCTCTGGTCGACCACCAGGTGCTCTGGTCGACCACAGCACCGGTCTAGCCACACCCCGGTCGACGTACCCCTTCCGTTGACCAGAAGTGTAAGCTGTCGGGGCCGAGCTCCCATCGTCGACTGCCACGTACATCTCAGGTCGACAGACTGCTCCGTCGGCTTCCCGGTCGAACTGAAGGTCAACGGACTGCTCCGTCGACCTCCCGGTCGAACCACAGGTCGACGTACTGCCCTGTCAACCTCTCGGTCGAACTGCCCCACCTGGTCGACGGCCCACCCGTCGCCCAGACCGGTCAGTTGCAGCTATCAAGCTCCCTAGTCAACAGCAACAACACAGTCGTCCCCTGCAGCTCGACGAAGCCTGACGAGCAGCTGTCCCACTGTGCACAGTAGGCTGCTACTCCCCCAACCAAGTCGTCGGCATGGCGCAAGCGAGGGCGGGGCCAACGCTCCATTCGCGTTAACACTTTCTGCGCGCAGTCTACGTCGACTTATGCGCGCCCCCGACTACGCAGTCTGCTACGTTCAAGCGAGAGCGTGGACATTTCCAATCAATACATACGACATTGCGTAGCTGCACGAGCGACGACAAAGGCGGAAAAAGTTTTGTAGCTTTACGCGACACACGGTTGATTCGAAGTTGGATCAGGGAAAGTACCTCATAGAGTACATGGATAGCTAGTACGTTTCGCATTCAATTGTAGTCATAAATAAATGAAAGTAAGAGCTTCTTTCTATCGACTGTGTCCATCTAGATTCACTGTGATCTGAGGTCACAAACTTCCGTTGCAATACTATGATCTTGCGAACCTTGCTGACGTGATTATAGGCACGATCCACCTTCTGATCGCAACACCTTGTTGAAAGTCTACTAGTACATGCCATCGCAACCCTGCAGCTGTACATCTATACAAAAGCTTTATGTAAAAAATTATAAGCGGACTGAATTCATTCATAGTGGACGTAACCTTTATGCCCTGACGACTATGCGTGTCGCGGGTGTGCCATGCACTACTGGTGTAGATTCACCTTGAACAGCAGCCTATCAAGGCCAAAATTATGTTTTCAAACGGACTACACATGGCGATTACGCGATATCGTGACATATTACACCCTGACAAGGTGTCTTGATTTTAATTCACCCTTGGACACACCAAAACCCTAATTGCACCGGGAGTACTAAACTGCCAACGGTTTTAACCGTGCGCAAGAACCAGCAACAGTATATGATAGTTCAAGTGTCTAACAAAAGCCAAGGCTGTATGTTTTTTGCAACTCACTAAAAGATCTCACACTGCAACCTTGTAACGGGGCGCTTTTCTTCATCTGGTTTGCGCTCAATACCCATCTCGACCTTCCAAAAACGTTTGTTACCGCTGTAAAACGTGAACAATCTATTTTAGCCGCATCCAAACGAACTAGAAGGGCGCGCCCTTAGGGAGTTCACGTAACTTCGATCTGACACTAAGATGTGCTGTCAAAGCGCCCCACACGTCGACCGTGAGATAAACTCTGCAGCTTGGACGATGCTGCGCAACTGGCGCGACCATCCCATCCCATCCCGTTCGACCATCCCATCCACCCAGGCTTTCTCTTTCTCCCAGCAACAAACACCTTTCTCCTTGTGTTACTTTCGCCATTCCTAGTTTTCTAATAACTGGGAAAATTAGTAGCCTCCTTTTGAGCTTCCTACGTGCCCGGGTTTCTAGGCTATTCATCTGGTACCTTAGGTGAGATTATGGCATATTAGTTTAGTTCTTACCAGATATCCCTACGGCCAATCAACCGATTCTCTGCCAATTCCTGAGTTTCACAATGCAGCCCGTGCCAAGTCCCTTCATAGCTGCAGTTCTTCCTAGAAGAGCCGCTGAAGCTACCTCAAACCCGGCTGTGGGTACCTTTGGCTCTCCGGAAGCCATCCCGATGCACAGCAATGGACGAGCCCAAGACGAGCCCGAGGACGACGTGTTTGCTGAAGGTACGTCTCACTCCTCGTAGCCATTCGTATGAACATGTGCCCTGCGCACTGTCGGATCAAACGACTTACTCTACAAAATGTACTTATTGCTACTTCTGTTTGTTTTTTAACCCTTTGCCACAGGCTCGAAATTCGTGTCGCTGAACAATGTGTCGATCACGGGTGGTACTAAGCGCCAGACCCGTGCGAGGAAACCTAAAGAAGTGCGGAAGGGGAAGCGTTCTACTTTCGTCCGCACGGGCAAGAAAGGCCGCGCTGATGCACTTGGTGATGGCGGTTGTGGAGCAGACACATACACTCAAGAGAATGGTCAACATGCACATAACGCCTCCTTTCCAGCTGCAGCCGCCACTATCACTCCCTCCTCCGCCTATGTCAACGCAGCGGCGGCGACTCATCAGCTCGCCGCCACTCAGTCAGTCCCTGGCCTGCCCTCAGCCTCTGCCTCCCTTTCAGCTGCAGCCGCCACTATCACTCCCTCCTCCGCCTATGTCAGCGCAGCGGCGGCGACTCATCAGCTCGCCGCCACTCAGTCAGTCCCTGGCCTGCCCTCCGCCTCTGCCTCCCTTTCAGCCGCAGCCGCCACTATCTCTCCCTCCTCTGCCTATGTCATCGCGGCGACTCATCAGCTCGCCGCCTCTCACACAATCCCTGGCCTGCCCTCCGCCTCTGCCTCCCCTTCAGCTGCACCCGCCACTATCTCTCCCTCCTCCGCCTTTGTCACCGCAGCGGCGACTTATCAGCTCGCCGCATCTCAGTCATTCCCTGGCCTGCCCTCCGCCTCTGCCTCCCTTTCAGCTGCAGCCGCCACTATCACTTCTCAGAATCCCAACCACTAGACCATTGGGATAAAAGGGCTTGTTTAAGTAGCGGGTCAGTGCGCCCATAACCCCCCAGGCAACCGTGCCTGTAACCCTTCCCTAGGATCAATCGGGGATCACCAGTGGACCTCTGACACCCCCCCTAACTGGGATGCCCGAAGTGCACACACCGGGATTCGAACCCGAGACCTTCGCTCTGATACCATCTCAGAATCCCAACCACTAGACCATTGGGATAAAAGGGCTTATTTAAGTAGCGGGTCAGTGCGCCCATAACCCCCCAGGCAACCGTGCCTGTAACCCTTCCCTAGGATCAATCGGGGATCACCAGTGGACCTCTGACATCACTCCCTCCTCCGCCTATGTCAACACAGCGGCGACTCATCAGCTCGCTGCCACTCAGTCAGTCCCTGGCCTGCCCTCAGCCTCTGCCTCCCTTTCAGCTGCAGCCGCCACTATCACTCCCTCCTCCGCCTATGTCAACGCAGCGGCGGCGACTCATCAGCTCGCCGCCACTCAGTCAGTCCCTGGCCTGCCCTCCGCCTCTGCCTCCCTTTCAGCCGCAGCCGCCACTATCTCTCCCTCCTCCGCCTATGTCAACGCAGCGGCGGGGACTCATCAGCTTGCTACCCGGATCTCTCCCTCCGCTGCCTATGTGCACGTCTCGGTTCCTGGCCAGTCCAGGCCCGCCGTTGCACCTGGATCGACCTCCCTGCCACCTGCTCCCAGTGCACTCTCACCCTCGCCCTCCTATATCAATCCTGGGTTGCACCCAACCAGCTCAGGTCAGCCTGGCTCCGGCCTCATCCCACAAGCCTCTGCACCCCCTGCTGCCGCTGTGGCGCCCCCTACTGCACAATTGCAGCCGTCTGGACTCCCATGGGCACTCCGTGTGCGCAAACAGAAGTCCGCTCTCCCAGACCCTGGACCATCACATGTGGAGGCCGGGTCGGATGAAGGCTCCGACGATGATGACTCCTTCGAGAATGAAGTTGAGCATGATGGTGAACAGCGGCCTGCTACAACCAGGGTTTCGCGAGCCGCTTTTGAGGCCGCGCAAGCGCAAATCCGACAACAGGCGCGACGCATAGCTGAGTTGGAGAATCAGCAACCTCAGCAAAAAGGCCCTCATGCTGGCAGTCATGCCATGGATCAGCGCCAGGCCAACATGCCCAGCCCTTCCCGACAGTTGCCGGTTGCACCCCAGCTTGCTCCTTCAACCACTCGACCTTGCACCCAGCCAAATGCAACACCGACCCTGATTTTCTCACCAGTGGTGTGGCCACGAACGCAGGCCGCTTTTAGCCGTGCTGTGGCAAAGGCACACATCAGACGACAGGCCATCGACTGCTCTGCAATGTCGCCACGGCAACACGGGTGGTACAATAACGTCATCACGGCGTTAGATGCTTTCCCGGATGTGAACGGGGACCTTAAGGTGAGCAGCAACCCTTCGTTTCAGCCTTCGCCGTGCTTACAAATGACATTAGCATTGGGTGCCTACATCCCCCACCCCGCAAACTCCTCATGCCACATACATTCACGCCCTCCCTTCCCTCCCCTGTTCTCTTTCCCACTCTGCCATGTTGTGCACAATTTTTGTTGCTCTCCTGCAGGACCACGTGGATGAGGCTCTTGATATCATGTTTTTTGACACCCCAGTCACTGATTTCACAATGTGGCCTAGTACCGAACGCCTAGAGGCGGCCCTGCGCAAGGCCCTAGGCCTCAATGAGCCGGAAGAGCATTTTATAGTGCGTATGGTTCTGAAAGCTGACAAGTACAGGAACGGCTACATTCGTGACATGATTCAAGCGTATCGCAACGACGCATTGACGGATGGGCGCAATTGGGTGTACGACGACTTCGACTTGTACGTGCGACGGCCAAGGCTCGGTGGGAAGAAAGTAGGCACCCTCACGACAGTGCTGTTCTTGGACCAGTACGTTGAAAGTGAGTATGCTTTAGTACTCCTATCACACCCCCGCCCCTACCCCACCCCCGTTCCTCCCTCTCCTTCCAAATGAGCCCGTACGTTGAAAGTGATTCCAGTGTACCCTCTTTCCCTCCCTGTTTTCCCCTCCCCACCCCAGCAGCAAGCAATGCCAGCCAAGGCAGAGCCCAACAGTCCCCAGTGTACCCTCTTTCCCTCCCTGTTTTCCCCTCCCCACCCCAGCAGCAAGCAAGGCCAGCCAAGGCAGAGCCCAACAGTCCCCAGTGTACCCTCTTTCCCTCCCTGTTTTCCCCTCCCCACCCCAGCAGCAAGCAAGGCCAGCCAAGGCAGAGCCCAACAGTCCCCAGTGTACCCTCTTTCCCTCCCTGTTTTCCCCTCCCCACCCCAGCAGCAAGCAAGGCCAGCCAAGGCAGAGCCCAACAGTCCCCAGTGTACCATCTTTCCCTCCCTGTTTTCCCCTCCCCACCCTAGCGGCAAGCAAGGCCAGCCAAGGCAGAGCCCAACAGTCCCCAGTGTACCCTCTTTCCCTCCCTGTTTTCCCCTCCCCACCCCAGCAGCAAGCAAAGCCAGCCAAGGCAGAGCCCAACAGTCCCCAGTGTACCATCTTTCCCTCCCTGTTTTCCCCTCCCCACCCCAGCAGCAAGCAAGGCCAGCCAAGACAGAGCCCAACAGTCCCCAGTGTACCCTCTTTCCCTCCCTGTTTTCCCCTCCCCACCCCAGCAGCAAGCAAAGCCAGCCAAGGCAGAGCCCAACAGTCCCCAGTGTACCCTATTTCCCTCCCTGCTTTCCCCTCCCCACCCCAGCAGCAAGAAAGGCCAGCCAAGGCAGAGCCCAACAGTCCCCAGTGTACCCTCTTTCCCTCCCTGTTTTCCCCTCCCCACCCCAGCAGCAAGCAAGGCCAGCCAAGGCAGAGCCCAACAGTCCCCATTGTACCCTCTTTCCCTCCCTGTTTTCCCCTCCCCACCCCAGCAGCAAGCAAGGCCAGCCAAGGCAGAGCCCAACAGTCCCCAGTGTACCCTCTTTCACTCCCTGTTTTCCCCTCCCCACCCCAGCAGCAAGCAAAGCCAGCCAAGGCAGGGCCCAACAGTCACCAGTGTACCCTCTTTCCCTCCCTGTTTTCCCCTCCCCACCCCAGCAGCAAGCAAGGCCAGCCAAGGCAGAGCCCAACAGTCCCCATTGTACCCTCTTTCCCTCCCTGTTTTCCCCTCCCCACCCCAGCAGCAAGCAAGGCCAGCCAAGGCAGAGCCCAACAGTCCCCAGTGTACCCTATTTCACTCCCTTTTTTTCCCTCCCCACCCCAGCAGCAAGCAAAGTCAGCCAAGGCAGAGCCCAACAGTCCCCAGTGTACCCTCTTTCCCTCCCTGTTTTCCCCTCCCCACCCCAACAGCAAGCAAGGCCAGCCAAGGGAGAGCCCAACAGTCCCCATTGTACCCTCTTTCCCTCCCTGTTTTCCCCTCCCCACCCCAGCAGCAAGCAAGGCCAGCCAAGGCAGAGCCCAACAGTCCCCAGTGTACCCTCTTTCACTCCCTGTTTTCCCCTCCCCACCCCAGCAGCAAGCAACGCCAGCCAATGCAGAGCCCAACAGTCCCCAGTGTACCCTCTTTCCCTCCGTGTTTTCCCCTCCCCACCCCAGCAGCAAGCAAGGCCAGCCAAGGCAGAGCCCAACAGTCCCCTGTGTACCCTCTTTCCCTCCCTGTTTTCCCCTCCCCACCCCAGCAGCAAGCAAAGCCAGCCAATGCAGAGCCCAACAGTCCCCAGTGTACCCTCTTTCCCTCCCTGTTTTCCCCTCCCCACCCCAGCAGCAAGCAAGGCCAGCCAAGGCAGAGCCCAACAGTCCCCAGTGTACCCTCTTTCCCTCCCTGTTTTCTCCTCCCCACCCCAGCAGCAAGCAAGGCCAGCCAAGGCAGAGCCCAACAGTCCCCATTGTACCCTCTTTCCCTCCCTGTTTTCCCCTCCCCACCCCAGCAGCAAGCAAGGCCAGCCAAGGCAGAGCCCAACAGTCCCCAGTGTACCCTCTTTCCCTCCCTGTTTTCCCCTCCCCACCCCAGCAGCAAGCAAAGCCAGCAAAATGCAGAGCCCAACAGTCCCCAGTGTACCCTCTTTCCCTCCCTGCTTTCCCCTCCCCACCCCAGCAGCAAGCAAGGCCAGCCAAGGCAGAGCCCAACAGTCCCCAGTGTACCCTCTTTCCCTCCCTGTTTTCCCCTCCCCACCCCAGCAGCAAGCAAGGCCAGCCAAGGCAGAGCCCAACAGTCCCCAGTGTACCCTCTTTCCCTCCCTGGTTTCCCCTCCCCACCCCAGCAGCAAGCAAGGCCAGCCAAGGCAGAGCCCAACAGTCCCCAGTGTACCCTCTTTCCCTCCCTGTTTTCCCCTCCCCACCCCAGCAGCAAGCAAGGCCAGCCAAGGCAGAGCCCAACAGTCCCCAGTGTACCCTCTTTCCCTCCCTCTTTTCCCCTCCCCACCCCAGCAGCAAGCAAAGCCAGCAAAAGGCAGAGCCCAACAGTCCCCAGTGTACCCTCTTTCCCTCCCTGTTTTCCCCTCCCCACCCCAGCAGCAAGCAATGCCAGCCAAGGCAGAGCCCAACAGTCCCCAGTGTACCCTCTTTCCCTCCCTGGTTTCCCCTCCCCACCCCAGCAGCAAGCAAGGCCAGCCAAGGCAGAGCCCAACAGTCCCCAGTGTACCCTCTTTCCCTCCCTGTTTTCCCCTCCCCACCCCAGCAGCAAGCAATGCCAGCCAAGGCAGAGCCCAACAGTCACCAGTGTACCCTCTTTCCCTCCCTGTTTTCCCCTCCCCACCCCAGCAGCAAGCAAGGCCAGCCAAGGCAGAGCCCAACAGTCCCCAGTGTACCATCTTTCCCTCCCTGTTTTCCCCTCCCCACCCTAGCGGCAAGCAAGGCCAGCCAAGGCAGAGCCCAACAGTCCCCAGTGTACCCTCTTTCCCTCCCTGTTTTCCCCTCCCCACCCCAGCAGCAAGCAAAGCCAGCCAAGGCAGAGCCCAACAGTCCCCAGTGTACCATCTTTCCCTCCCTGTTTTCCCCTCCCCACCCCAGCAGCAAGCAAGGCCAGCCAAGACAGAGCCCAACAGTCCCCATTGTACCCTCTTTCCCTCCCTGTTTTCCCCTCCCCACCCCAGCAGCAAGCAAAGCCAGCCAAGGCAGAGCCCAACAGTCCCCAGTGTACCCTCTTTCCCTCCCTGCTTTCCCCTCCCCACCCCAGCAGCAAGCAAAGCCAGCAAAAGGCAGAGCCCAACAGTCCCCAGTGTACCCTCTTTCCCTCCCTGTTTTCCCCTCCCCACCCCAGCAGCAAGCAAGGCCAGCCAAGGCAGAGCCCAACAGTCCCCAGTGTACCATCTTTCCCTCCCTGTTTTCCCCTCCCCACCCTAGCGGCAAGCAAGGCCAGCCAAGGCAGAGCCCAACAGTCCCCAGTGTACCCTCTTTCCCTCCCTGTTTTCCCCTCCCCACCCCAGCAGCAAGCAAAGCCAGCCAAGGCAGAGCCCAACAGTCCCCAGTGTACCATCTTTCCCTCCCTGTTTTCCCCTCCCCACCCCAGCAGCAAGCAAGGCCAGCCAAGACAGAGCCCAACAGTCCCCATTGTACCCTCTTTCCCTCCCTGTTTTCCCCTCCCCACCCCAGCAGCAAGCAAAGCCAGCCAAGGCAGAGCCCAACAGTCCCCAGTGTACCCTCTTTCCCTCCCTGCTTTCCCCTCCCCACCCCAGCAGCAAGCAATTCCAGCCAAGGCAGAGCCCAACAGTCCCCAGTGTACCCTCTTTCCCTCCCTGTTTTCCCCTGCCAACCCCAGCAGCAAGCAAGGCCAGCCAAGGCAGAGCCCAACAGTCCCCAGTGTACCCTCTTTCCCTCCCTGTTTTCCCCTCCCCACCCCAGCAGCAAGCAATGCCAGCCAAGGCAGAGCCCAACAGTCACCAGTGTACCCTCTTTCCCTCCCTGTTTTCCCCTCCCCACCCCAGCAGCAAGCAAGGCCAGCCAAGGCAGAGCCCAACAGTCCCCATTGTACCCTCTTTCCCTCCCTGTTTTCCCCTCCCCACCCCAGCAGCAAGCAAGGCCAGCCAAGGCAGAGCCCAACAGTCCCCAGTGTACCCTCTTTCACTCCCTGTTTTCCCCTCCCCACCCCAGCAGCAAGCAAAGCCAGCCAAGGTAGAGCCCAACAGTCACCAGTGTACCCTCTTTCCCTCCCTGTTTTCCCCTCCCCACCCCAGCAGCAAGCAAGGCCAGCCAAGGCAGAGCCCAACAGTCCCCATTGTACCCTCTTTCCCTCCCTGTTTTCCCCTCCCCACCCCAGCAGCAAGCAAGGCCAGCCAAGGCAGAGCCCAACAGTCCCCAGTGTACCCTATTTCACTCCCTTTTTTTCCCTCCCCACCCCAGCAGAAAGCAAAGTCAGCCAAGGCAGAGCCCAACAGTCCCCAGTGTACCCTCTTTCCCTCCCTGTTTTCCCCTCCCCACCCCAACAGCAAGCAAGGCCAGCCAAGGGAGAGCCCAACAGTCCCCATTGTACCCTCTTTCCCTCCCTGTTTTCCCCTCCCCACCCCAGCAGCAAGCAAGGCCAGCCAAGGCAGAGCCCAACAGTCCCCAGTGTACCCTCTTTCACTCCCTGTTTTCCCCTCCCCACCCCAGCAGCAAGCAACGCCAGCCAATGCAGAGCCCAACAGTCCCCAGTGTACCCTCTTTCCCTCCGTGTTTTCCCCTCCCCACCCCAGCAGCAAGCAAGGCCAGCCAAGGCAGAGCCCAACAGTCCCCTGTGTACCCTCTTTCCCTCCCTGTTTTCCCCTCCCCACCCCAGCAGCAAGCAAAGCCAGCCAATGCAGAGCCCAACAGTCCCCACTGTACCCTCTTTCCCTCCCTGTTTTCCCCTCCCCACCCCAGCAGCAAGCAAGGCCAGCCAAGGCAGAGCCCAACAGTCCCCAGTGTACCCTCTTTCCCTCCCTGTTTTCTCCTCCCCACCCCAGCAGCAAGCAAGGCCAGCCAAGGCAGAGCCCAACAGTCCCCATTGTACCCTCTTTCCCTCCCTGTTTTCCCCTCCCCACCCCAGCAGCAAGCAAGGCCAGCCAAGGCAGAGCCCAACAGTCCCCAGTGTACCCTCTTTCCCTCCCTGTTTTCCCCTCCCCACCCCAGCAGCAAGCAAAGCCAGCAAAAGGCAGAGCCCAACAGTCCCCAGTGTACCCTCTTTCCCTCCCTGTTTTCCCCTCCCCACCCCAGCAGCAAGCAAGGCCAGCCAAGGCAGAGCCCAACAGTCCCCAGTGTACCCTCTTTCCCTCCCTGTTTTCCCCTCCCCACCCCAGCAGCAAGCAAGGCCAGCCAAGGCAGAGCCCAACAGTCCCCAGTGTACCCTCTTTCCCTCCCTGGTTTCCCCTCCCCACCCCAGCAGCAAGCAAGGCCAGCCAAGGCAGAGCCCAACATTCCCCAGTGTACCCTCTTTCCCTCCCTGTTTTCCCCTCCCCACCCCAGCAGCAAGCAAGGCCAGCCAAGGCAGAGCCCAACAGTCCCCAGTGTACCCTCTTTCCCTCCCTCTTTTCCCCTCCCCACCCCAGCAGCAAGCAAAGCCAGCAAAAGGCAGAGCCCAACAGTCCCCAGTGTACCCTCTTTCCCTCCCTGTTTTCCCCTCCCCACCCCAGCAGCAAGCAATGCCAGCCAAGGCAGAGCCCAACAGTCCCCAGTGTACCCTCTTTCCCTCCCTGTTTTCCCCTCCCCACCCCAGCAGCAAGCAAGGCCAGCCAAGGCAGAGCCCAACAGTCCCCAGTGTACCCTCTTTCCCTCCCTGATTTCCCCTCCCCACCCCAGCAGCAAGCAAATCCAGCCAAGGCAGAGCCCAACAGTCCCCAGTGTACCCTCTTTCCCTCCCTGGTTTCCCCTCCCCACCCCAGCAGCAAGCAAGGCCAGCCAAGGCAGAGCCCAACAGTCCCCAGTGTACCCTCTTTCCCTCCCTGTTTTCCCCTCCCCACCCCAGCAGCAAGCAAAGTCAGCCAAGGCAGAGCCCAACAGTCCCCAGTGTACCCTCTTTCCCTCCCTGTTTTCCCCTCCCCACCCCAGCAGTAAGCAAAGCCAGGATAGGCCCAGCCTGCCAGTCCTATGTGTACCTTCCTTTTCCATTTTGCCTGACTAATGCTTCACATTCCAACTGTTTCACAAAGTATCGTATCTTTCCCCTACGACACGACAGGCCCTGCAGCGTTCAACATGCTTACTTGGCACATGAATGAGCACCGTGTGCCGTTTGCATCACCTTGCTTCATAAATGCAATCAGCGCCTCATTCAAGCGCCCCCAAGGTCGCAGGCTTATTCTCCCGCTGAAGTTACTAGCGTTCTGGCTGAATGGGGTGAGTGCAGTTTGCTGCATCTGCTACATTCTTTTTAAGGATCTTCTCGTGCAGATACTAGTCATGGTATTCCCTACCACCTCAGGTGGAGCACCGCGTCATCCACGGCAGTGATTTGCCGAGAAGCACCAACGAGAACGTCCGCGATGTGAACATTTATTACAACAAGATTTGGAACTGGACAAGAGCTGCAATTGGAGGAGCAACAGCCGCAAATGGTCCCTGGTGGCGGCCGGGTGTTGGGGCATGGTCGTTCGCGCGCAGCGATGTTGTTTTTATTAGTGGTGAGGGTCTCGAGGGCCTAGTAGCTAGTGCTTTCACGTATTAGTTTTGGTGTTTTCAAAATGTAGCACTGTTTGCTGTAGGTTTCCCTGGTTCTAGTATAACACTAAGTAATAAATGTTCTTTTAATAAATAATTGAACATCAATAACGGATCATTTAAAAAATATAAAACTCATATTTTATATTGATTCATTACGAACCCGAAATGTAGCGAATTCATTAATTTGCAGTTTTATAGCGAGATCTATGAAGCAGCACATCAATTGTATTACCCGCTCGATTAAAGCACTTTTAATTAGTCACAAATTTAAATTCGCGAGACAATGAACTTTATATCGAATTTTACATTCTTTGCTCAACACCACATTTCGAAACTATCGTAGAGGGAGGGAGTTGGGATATCCATTGGCGCTCCATCAATGTTGGAGGGACGAATGGCCAACCCGAACCTCCTCTAATGTTGTTGTTCCTTCCTCAACTGAGGGACGCCCAATCGCACCAACTGCCAAACCTATACGAAATGGTCCGTGGTTGGTCCCTCGAAGTTGGGAATGTACTAAGTGCGCTCTGCTCACAAACAGCTCAAAAAGCATAATGGCCACGAACATCAGCCATACTTTCCAAACCATTACGAGGAAGTAAGATTTCAAGTAGGCGAAATCGCGCGCATCGGCGAAAATCGTGTTTGTCTCAATTGAATCGACCTAAATTGCTCCCCGCTCGCCACGAGGGCGTTTGTCTAAATTGAATGGACCTCCCTTCCCCCCGCCCCCCCAGCCCCCTTTTCCCGCCCTTTCCCCACCGTCATTCGGGCAGCCGCATGCTCTCGCGTGAACTTCGGAATTGCCACAAGCAGTCACGAAAAGCAACCAACCAACCCCATGCCACGTGTAATTGAACGTGGAGGAAGCCACATCATTTGTCCCAGCAAAATTTCGGAATTTTCTGGGCCATGTATTATAACTCGAGAGGCTTATATAGAGGTTGATTGTACTGTGTCCTTCGGGATCTGGCCATGTCATTTCCGGCCTTCACGGTTTCATGATCAAAGCATTCGTGATCCTCAACGGTTCATGAACCCTTCCGTAAGCATCATGTTCCTGTGAAGCTTAGGCGAGTCTCCCGTTTTACAATACCGGGTAGACACCTAACGCAGTCATTACTTTAGGCAACTCATATCCGGGCCCGCATTAGTACTCCACTGAATAGTCTTAGCTTATCTCTGACAATACTGGTCACCATGTAGCGTCTAACGCGTGCGTATGGCCTCTAATCCCTTAGCGCAGGCCTTGCGACAGCTTAATGCGGCTCCCGAGTTCAACCCTAGGTACGACAGGCCTAATGACTACGCGCCATTGGAGCTGGGGGGCCTGTACTCTAGCCGTGATAAATGCAAGGAGGCCGTTTATGCGTACGCTCTAGAGCATCGGTTTGGTGTAAAAGTCCTTTTAGTAAAGCATAACTACGCAGTGGTTGGATGCAAGGCTTCATCGGACGGATGGTTACCCGCGTGCCTATGGAGCTGCACATATGGGCAAATCGGACACGGTGGTTTATGGCGTATTACGCGGCTCGTTTCTCCGGAAATGCATACGTGTCCGTTGCATTGGAGGCAGGGTTACGCCGAGGGGTTAGCCAACAGTATTCCCATCCTCGCTCGGCGATACGGCAATTTGGTCCGTGCAAATCCATTCATCTCACCCGTGGAGCTCAAAAGAATGCTCGAGGGTCATGGAAGGGTAGTGATCCACTACTGGCAGGCTTGGCGGCTTCGAGAGTACATCTTAAAGGAGCGATATGGAGATTGGAAGGAGTCCTTTCGCCAGGTTCCGTGGCTTCTCACTCGTTTCACAGTCATCGATCCGGAAGTTCAAGTGCGGTTGGACACATTAGATCGGTGTTTCCACCGATTCTACGTGCGTCCCTCTGCAGCACGGCATGCGTTAAATTATTGCCGCCCGGTTGTTGCGCTCGACGGTACACATCTCATTAGTGCGCAGAAGGCTGTGCTGCTCATCGCCGTCACCATTGACGGGAACCAGGAGATTCTGTTACTTGCATGGGCCTTGGTGGAGTCGGAGAACAAGGACGCGTCGACCTGGTTTCTGAAGCTGTTCCTTGAGGGGTTCCCAGAGTGGGCGCGTAGGGACGATGCCTCCATCATCAGCGATCGCGATAAGGGGTTGGTGCCGGCAGCAAGGGAGGTGATGCCAAGCCACATCCCCCATTATTTCTGTGCGTGGCATCTGGAGCAGAACCTTAAGCGGTTCGGCAAAGCGGCAACAGCGTTCTTCTGGCGCTTGGTGAAGTGTCGGTCTGAAACGAAATGGGTTGCGCTTGTCGGGGCCGCACGACGAGATTTTCCTGACATGGCCGCATATCTGTTCGGGCCTGTCCGGCAGCAGCCACAGCCACAACCCCAGCCGGCTCCTCGGGTCCCCCCTCCTGGAGCCCGGGCAACATTTGAGGGGGCTAGGGATTTCGTGTTCGCGGATGCTCGCGAAGGGAGGAGGGCACAGCGAGGGCAGGAGCGTGGTGGCAACGCGGGAAATGGTGGCGTCGACATCGCGTCCCAACCCGAAGGGAGTGGGTTCCCGGAGGGCAACACGTCCGCGTACAACAGGCGTGGCGGCGGTCTGGCTGGCAGAGGGGGGATGAACGCACCTGGAAGACGGGCCAGAGCGCACGAGGGTATTGGAGTCCCGTCAGGGATACCAGACGAAGGGGATGGCGGAGCGGCTGCTTTTGGCATCGGCCGTGGAGGGTGAGGACGAGCTTCATCTGGACGTGGTCGCAGAGGGAGAGGCGGTGGCGTTGCAGGGGCGGGCCTTGGCAGGGGAGGTAGAGGAGTGCCCCCCGCGGGCGATTGCGGAGGGCATGGGGGTGCCGGATCAGACTTCACGGGGGTTGGTGGTGGAGTACGGGAAGAGCCGCTCGGTGGGGCCGCCGGGGAGCAGGGGGATGCTGGCGCGGGATGGTCCGGACTTGCAGGTGGAGGGAGGGGAGTCCCGCTTGGTGGGGCTCCTGGAGGGCAGGGGGGTGCAGGAGCAGGATGGTCCGGCATTGGAGGTGGAGGGAGGGGAGTCCCGCTTGGTGGGGCTCCTGGAGGGCAGGGGGGTGCAGGAGCAGGATGGTCCGGCATTGGAGGTGGAGGGAGGGGAGTCCCGCTTGGTGGGGCTCCTGGAGGTCAGGGGGGTGCAGGAGCAGGATGGTCCGGCATTGGAGGTGGAGGGAGGAGAGTCCCGCTTGGTGGGGCTCCTGGAGGTCAGGGGGGTGCAGGAGCAGGATGGTCCGGCATTGGAGGTGGAGGGAGGGGAGTCCCGCTTGGTGATGCTTCTGGAGGGCGAGGACGCGGCGGAGCAAGATGGTCAGGCATCGGGAGTGCGGATGGGGGGGAGCCGTTGTTCGGCCCTGGAGCAAGAGATAGTGTATATGCTGCGAGCGGTGAATTGGTAGGGTCTTGGCCCAGTCCTCAGACTGCAGGACCCAGGCGACACCACTGCGGGCCACGCGGTGATGTTACGTTTGGGGTTGGCCTGGGCGCGAATTTCATGGGTGGGGTGGGGTCCGTTGGAAGGGGGGGCTCACCAGTGCCCTCTGGGGGCGACGTGCAGCGAGCTCCAGCATCTGTGCGTGATAATGGTTTGGCATCATGCTCCACGGGTGATGGGATAGGCGCTCTCACCACTTTGGGGAACCCGGGTGCACGAGCATTTGACGTCAACACGGTCCTGCGACGTGCCCGGGAGTGGTACCGGTCAGAGGACATTGACACGGGGAGGACCACGGGCACTCAGGGATCTGAGATGGGTGGGTTTACTGAGCACTTCCACCCAGCATCGGCTCTGGCTCTGCCATGGCCAGACTGCGGGCAGCGGGAGAACATTCCTGCGCCAGGGCCGGATGAGCCAGCATGTGAGGATGATCCGGTGCCAGTGGATGCTACGGAGGATGGGGATGAGGCGGCCGATGTTGATGGAGGACCCGAAATACATGTGCGCACAGGGTTCTACCGTAACAGGCGCGGATCCTCTTATCGCATTGGGGGAATCATGCTCATGCACTGGGCCCGTCTGTTTGCGGTGACACTGCGTTCTGGCATCTACACAAGCAACGCCGCGGAGTCCATCAACAGCGCTGTCCGCGGCATCCGAATGCTGCCACCAACGTGGCTCCTAGCATCCCTTTGGGATTGGTCTCGCGACAAGTGGTACGAGAGGAAGGAGAAGGCGCGCTGCAGGGATGAGTATCTCACGGCTGCCGCATCGAAACGACTGGACCAAAAGAAGCAGAGGTGCCAGGGGTATTGGTTCATCGGTGGGGACAACTCTGTGGGAACCATCCAGACCAGGGGGGGGGGAAACGAGTCCCAGTGGCGGAGCTTCAACGTGAACCTCGATGCCCGGACGTGCGAGTGCGGGAACTGGGAGGAGTACCAGTTCCCTTGTGCCCACGCCGTGGCAATGTGCATTCTGAAGCAGCGGAGTGTGGAGATCCTTGTGTCTGAGTACTACACCACTCGCAATCTTCGCCAGACATACAACCGGGATGTGATGGGTACCTGTGTGGACCGGCTGATTATGGAGGCTCCACTGGCACAAGTGGGCGAGTGCGATGCACCAGCGCTGATTGAGACGAGGGTTGGGAGGCCAGAGAATCACACCCGGTTCGAGGCACCGCCGCACGCTTATCGGTGTGGTCGATGCCGACAGTATGGGCACAACCGCAAAAGGTGCAAGTACAAGTACGGTGGGTACGGTCAGGCGCCGGCTGCGGTGGGGGAGGAGGTGGAGGAGGAGGAGGAGGAGGAGGAGGAGGAGGAGGGGGAGGATGGAACTGCTACAGGAGAGCATGGAGGGGGGCACCAAGCTGCCCATGAATGAATGTCGAGTAAAACAGGCTTTCCCATGCTAGTATTGGGCCTTGTTTTGTGTCCTTGGATCCCTGCCGAAGAAAACATTTCATTGACGAGAGTACTAGAAAATTTAATATACGAAACATAATTGTTTAGTTGAGTAGTGCTGCTGTGCAATACTTATTCAACAAGACCCACACAAATCTGGCCAGGAGTTGGGAGATTCATGTGTGTAAAGTGTGCACTTGACTCCCTCTGCTTTCTCCTTGACCTGTGCATAGAGCGTCATGATCGACCCTTTTACATACATGATTCGAGGGCCTGGAAATCGCGGGGCGATGTCGCGCAGCTAGTCATGACGAATCATGAACTCTCCATAGTGCATGAACGCATCTCGACCTGTCAAGACTCGAACAGCCTACAAGCGCGGGTCCTGGAAGTCGCGCGTGAATGCCTACACTTTCAATCATGAACAAACTCGTGCTAGTGGCTCGGAAGTTGACTACCTGCACGGACGAACATGAACTCTCATGGACGTGATGCCTGCAACATGATTCGTCGTCGGGGTTGACCCTAATTTGCGCGAAGGAACATGAACCGAGAATGGCCCCTTCATTGCGTGTCATTCGATGTGCGTATTTGTTGTGACGGTGTTGTGGAAAATTATACACCCTCATCCTCTAATAAAATATGGCGTGCACAATGCCACCGGTATAATTAAAACTCCTAACATTGACTACATGTTAAAAACTTTCAGCACAATACTTTCAGCACGCACAATACTTTCAGCACGCACCCCATAACCCTGGTAACAAAACAGCAGTACGTTACATGGAGCATGAGATTTGATACTATTGTCATTGTTCATAATTTACTCAGGATCACCTCACTAAGGTAGACACTGGCGTACCAGTGACCAGGAGATGATGCTAGTCTAAAGCACACCACTGACCATGATGTGATGAGCCCTTGAGCTCGAGGGCAGAATGAAAACTCTGATTAAGGCTACCAGTCGCACAGCACACACCCCGAGGCGGGGTACTATGCGTACTCGGGACAACAAGTGAAAAGATAGTGATTTATGAAAAATCGGTTGTACGATGCTACTCTCGTTATGCAAGTGTCTAAAGCCGGGGTTGTGGAACACGGCATAATCATTTCTGTGAGACCTTAGACACCGTTTATGGCCCCTAAACCCGTGTTCATGGCCGTTGTCACTGTTTGAGTTGTTTCCTCTGCATTTATACAACCGAAATAAAAAGTGTTGCAGACGCTGTTATAAAATGCCACGATTTGTCACAGGTGCCGGATCGTTATAGCTTATAGGGTCGCGCAGTCGGGGGGTGATATTTCGTGGCGTTGTGGCGTGCGAAACCACCACGCGTCATGAAAAAACGCGCATGACTATCGACGAGATCATGATGGTCTGTGGTGTCATGATCGTAGGCCTTACTCCCATATCACCACACATTGGGCCGGCTGGTGAGCTGGTGCGCTATCGTTTGGGTTTGTTGCCGCCAGGTTGGGGTCTTTAGTGAACTCAAAAACATGGCTGACAGCCAGCAGTTCAACATATTGTTCATGCTACAGTCCTACAAACCCCGCAAAGAGCAACAAAGGCCACAGTGCGAAAAACAGCATGGTGTTCATGAAAATCAGCTCCATCGTCACACTTTCGTAAGCTGTTGGGCTCTGACACACTGAAGACGAGAACAGCAGGTTAATGTCTAAACCCTGGCTAGTGCGTTGTCTAAACACCACGCTGCAACAAATCAATACCTGTCGGGTGGGTTGTCGCGTTGTTGCCCACATCCCCCTCGTCGCTCTCTGGCAACGACAGCGAGGCAAACGCCACAACATCAGCCTGCACAGGGGGGTTGGTCAATGTGGCTTGCGTAGAATGGGCTGGTGGGGCGGGAGTAACCCCCGCAGGCACAGGAGTTGTTCCGACGTGCACAGCAGTAGCTCCACCGGGAGGGGTGGGCTGTGCAGGTGCAAGAGCCACGGCAGGAGGGGCGATGCCTGCATTCGCCGGGGCAAGTGTGGTTGGAGCAGCTGCGGGTGCGGTTGGCGCTGCTGCCACAACAGCGGGGGATGCAGGGGTGGGGTTGGCACCACCGAGGGAAGCAAGCTCGACGCGCCACCTTTCCCACCGCCCCCAGACGCGTGCGGTAGTGAGCTGCCGCACGATCTCGGCCGTGCAGCCATCCAGCAGGTCCATCTCCTCGCCGGTGAGCTGCCACACACGACCCCGGGGAGGCTTGCTCCGCCTGAGCACGGCTGCAGCTGCAGCGAACGCGCGGGCCGCTTGCTGCTGGTCTTGGAAGTGGCCAAGAATCAGCGTCCTTGATGACCCGGGCTCAGGGACAATCTTCGCTTGCCAAGTTCCGTCTGGGAGGAGCCTAACACCCGCGTACTCCCCCGATCCAACCACTCCCCCGACAGAGTGTGATGGCGGTGGCGGCGGGCCCATACACCCAGAGTGATCCTCCGAAGGGGCAGGCAGAGCTCCACCGCGCGCAACGCAACGATACGAGGTCAATGCATCGCCGGGCGTACCGGGCAGCAGCCCGTTGATAACGCCGTGGGCCGTTTGAATCTGATGAGAATCCCCTTGCTGCTCGAGTTGCGCAGTCGGCGCCAGAATTTGCTGGGTGGCAGGGTCGTCGGTTCTCGCGCTGGGTCCGCCAGCTCCTCCAATACGCCCCTGCTGCGGCGGTGCTGGTAAGGCTGCTACTTGCGCTGACAACGCGGTGAGCTCGTCGCGGGTGGTGGACAAGTCGTTGGTGAGACTCTCCACCAGGAGCTCGAGCTTGGTGATGTCTTTCTCACAGTACCCCACGCGGCAGGAGATGTTGTGGATGTCGCCGACAGCATCACGCAGCTTCGCGTCGATTTCGGCCAGCTCTGGAGACACTGGCTTGTTCACGCGCTTGCTGAGCGGCGGATCTTGGTGGGGCACCATAACTCCAGACCTCTCCAGGGTTGGGATCAACCGCTTGAGTGCATGTTCGACTATGTCCGCACGCATCCCCCTCCGGAAAAGGCCACCACCATAGGGCAAAGCTGGCAGCCCATCGTCCAGATTAGCGAAGCCACGGGCAACCAGCTCAGATGCGTAGATGCAAACGTAGACACCACAGTCTACTTGGTTGGCCTGCATCGGGCACTGATAGTACTGCACACGCGAAAACAAACAAGGTGAGCAATATTGATGAACGTTCCATGGATGAGATCTGATAAAAAAACCCTGCGCGAAAGATTTGAGTGCTTACCCCAAGCGGGACGCAAGGCATCGGATCAAGCCGCTGCTTGATTGCGGTGGCAGAGAGGCCGGGCTCCTCGGCTTGTAGCGCCAGACCGAGCAGCCTGGACACAGCAACGAAGCATGGATAAGTGCATTACAAGCGGCGAAGCAACCATGCGATCATTAGCACGACGAAACTTAGGAGGCGATGCATGCCCGTGCAACTTACGTTTGGATCTCGGCGAACACCGACGGAGCCATGTTCCGATGATCACCAGTCGAGTCGAACAGGTAGGCCACCGGAAGCTCCGTGTTCCCCGATTTTATAGCAGTTGTTCTTGCCCTGCCAGGCTCCTTGACAACAACAAGGCTGAAATGCCTTGGCTCACTGCCACAATACCAACTTAAATGTAAGTACACAGCATGGCGATGCCGCGGTACGCGCGTACATCGAGATTGAGCATGCATGTCTTACAGTGTAGTTACAACTACAAGGACGTAGTTGTAGTCAAGGATGGTGCCGCCCTCGAATCCAGTGAAGAGAACCTGTTGATTCGCCGCCATCAGATACGCTCCAGTGTCAAGCGCAACCCATGTCTCCCCGCTTGGTGTTTTGGAATGCCTGATGCTCAGCAAACTGCGCGGGGTGAATACACAGACACGGAGAGCCGGTGTTAGGCGCCGGCAATATAGTGTGAGTGTGCTTACCCGCGGGAACAACGCACTCACATGTTGTGGAAGTCGATTAATGCCGTGCTGAGCTCGTATCCATCCTGAATGCGCATCGCGTCAATAGGGCTCACGAAGGCGTTTTGGCCGATGGCGTTGTACAACGGCTTCGTTGGGAAGTGCTGACTCTTGATGGTAGGGCCGCGACAGCCTTTAGTTTGAGCCGGCGGCCCACGACCTTTGGTGAAGGCGGAGATGATGTCATCGACGGGCGGCAACACCTCCTTGTTCACTATGTTGGTTTTGAAGTTGAATCCACCGGTGCTATGCTGCTTCTCCGGTCCTTTCCGTTGCTTCCCCTTTCTCCTGCCTTTCCCGTGCTCGTCGGTGACGAGCTTGACGTCCGAATCGTGAGATTCACCGCCGTCGGATTCCTCGTGGCCCGACTCATCCTGCCGTTTACCGAGGACCGTTTTGCTACGAAGATCCATCACACGCCCAGAACGCTATACGCCACCGAATAGCTGGCAATTTGCAATGACTAAGGTATCGCGAGTACAAGAAACAAACCACAAAGAGCACAAAGGTTGGATGATTGCTTGATAGCTATCACAGAGGGAAAGGGTGCGAGAGAGGGGAGCTGTGACGGTCGTGATGTGGCATGAAAGCTCATGTTCAGAGGTTGGCGGCGAGGATAAGTTCATGAATGCAGGATTAGGTTCATGTACGCTGTCAAAACCGCCCTCGGCAATTGGTCTGAACTCATGCTCGTGCATGACCGTCGATTGGTCGCCTGGTTGTACATTACCGTACATGATCGGTATCGAGGTACCACTCCATGTCGTTGCTACACTACCTATAACGTTGGCGCGTCCAAACGGAGCCAGTGCATGTTACTCTGACGCGCTGAACAAATCACCAATTTTCCGACCAATAAGAACAACCACCCGTGGCGAAAGTGTGTAGCCTGGCTGGAATTTGGAATTGGTGACTCTTTGTGACTTTTACGCGAGAGCATGCGGCTGCCCGAATGACGGTGGGGAAAGGGCGGGAAAAGGGGGCTGGGGGGGCGGGGGGAAGGGAGGTCCATTCAATTTAGACAAACGCCCACG